GATTTGGAGAAACTTTATGCTATAATTTTATTGGATATACCTTTAGTGTTTATCTCAGCTCCTTCTATCCCAGAAACACTTGGGCTTTTTTGTCTTGACCACACCCCAGCACTTTTGACACTGTGGCCATGCTCATTTACTGTTATGGATGTTTGGATTTTGTCAACCCTTATCCTTGCTTCTGCTTGGTCAACTCTACTGGTGATGCATTCCACAATGTTCTTCATCTGATTCTTTGAGTTTTTCACGTATAATATTTGTACTTGAATTTTATTCAAAAAATCTCAATTTCCTTGTGAACCTTTCTTCTATGCCACTGGTTTTGTTTGTACTTTCATTGACTTTTTTCCTCTTTGCTGTTGATCTTTCTTTTTAGGTAATACATTGACTTCATTGGTTTTCATATCCCTTTTCAGGCCACTGTTCATTTTCGGCAGTAAACTTTTGAAATATCCATCTGCCATTGTAACCGTTCCAGTGACTTTGAGCTCTGTAGTTGAGGCAGTGTGATCTTCTGGAGAAGTTGTGCTGTCTAGATGTTTCGCGTCTCGTGTTTCTGCATTGTGATTTGTGCACCCATTGGCTTCTGCATTTCTCCTGGTTTTATGTGAGAGTCGTTTGGTTGAGCCGCCTACTCTCAAAGGCTTAATCCCCAGAATCACTGAGCAGGGAAAGGTTAAACTCCCCTTTCCAGCAGCTCCTCCTCCCGCACACAGCAGAGAGCTAGCTGTGCAGCTGAAGGTGTGCTCCGTTGACTTCGTGTGTGGTTTGAATGACAACGACCCTAACAGGCTCATACGTTTGAACACGTGGTCCTTAGTGGGTAGAACTATTTGGGAAGGATTAGGAGGTGTGGTCTTTTGGGGGGAGATGTGTCCCTGGGGGTGAGCTTTGAGGTTTAGAAAGACTCTCGTCATTCTGTTTGCTCACTCAGCCTCATGGTTGTGGTCAAGATGTGAGTTTCACCTACTGCTTCAGCGCCGTGCCTGCTCTACTGCCTGCCTGCTCCCTGCCTGCCTGCCCACATGCTCCCCTTCTGGAACCTTGAGCCCTAAATTCAATGCTTTCTTCTCTAAGTTGTCTTGGTCATGGTGTCTCTTCAGAGCAATACAACAGTTACTAAGACGCGTTCTGTTGGTAAGCCGTCCATCTACTTTCTGTGTTTTTCAGATATCTCTGTATTTTACTTCTATCTTGGCATTTAATCAGGGGCTGGCTTGTCATTTCAGGGGTTTAGTTAATTACCGTCATGGCAGGAAGCACGGCAGCATGCAGGCAGATGTTGGAGCAGTAGTTGAGAGCTACATCCTGATCCAGAGAGAGAGAGAGAGAGAGAGAGAGAGAGAGAGAAAGACTGGATCTACATGGGCTTCTGAAACCTCAAAGCCCACCCCAGTGACACACTTCTGCCCACGCCTCCTAATCCTTTTGATATTTTCAAACAGCTATACTCCCTGGTGACTAAGCACTCAAGTACATGAACCTATGGAGGTCATTCTTATTCAACCCAAACCAACTACCGTCATTGATTATAAATGCTCTTCCTCTCTTTTTGTCTTTGGAGTAGAGTCCATTTTTTCTTCTTCTAGGTCTCTCCATCACTGGCTCACCTGGAGGCAGATGCTAACCTATATCTTGCCCAGAATGCCCAAGACATATGCTCTTAAATTCCAGCTCCGACATGTCTGCTGAGCAGTCTTAGGCAATTCACTTAACCTCTCTGAATTTTGTTCTCTTGACATGTTGTCTTTGTTATCCTATTGCTGTGATAAAAACACCATGACCAAGGCAACTTATAAGCTAAAGTGTTTAATTTGGCTTACAAATTAGAGGGTAAGAGTCCACGGTGGGGGAGCAAAAGAACAGCTGAGAACTCACATCTTGATCTACTCCTAAGAACAAGAGATGTCAAGAAGAGCACACTGTTCCTCTGAAACCCCAAAGCCCACCCCCAGTAACACACCTCCCCCAACCGAGCCACACCTCCTAATCCTCGCCAAGCAGTTCCACCAACTGCAAACGAAGTATTTAAACATATGAGCCTACATGGGGCACCCTCACTCAAACCACAGCATGTCATGGGATGTCACCCTATCAGAAAAGTGTCATGCAGACCATACAGGGAAGCCAACTGTAGAGGCACATGTACGGTGCTCAGGAGAAACTCAAACGCTAGTATCTGTCCTTCCACAGACCATGTGTTCTACAAATATTCCTGGAACCAATAACTGAATACCAAGTAGAGGTGAGTGGACGTTGTTTTGCAAATGGAATGCAGAAAAGGCTCTTATTAACCAACAAGGCTTTCCTTTAAACACAAGCCAGGAAAAATATAGTCCCTTCAATGCTTTTAATTATCTTCTGAGTCGGAAATAAAAGATTTTGTCCTGGCTGATGGAAAACATGATGCCACGTCCTGTTTTGTCCCCCACATTCGTTGCTATAAAAGGTTTCAATCAAGATGCTACTTTGTCCAAATATAGCTCTCTTGCATGGAAGGGGTTTGAAAGCAATGCCTTGTATCCTACCACCTGTGATAAAGACAGAACAGGCCGCAGGGCCTGCTTTCAGAGACCATGCTGCAGACTGTGGTAAAGCACAAATCACCTAGCTACAAAAGGGAATCTACTCATACTAACGGTTGCCATGCCATTCCGCCAGGCAGAAGTCCATGAGAATTCCCTCCAAATGTGGTATTCCAGACATCTTGAGCTTGAGAGAGTCTTTGCACCAAGACGTCGGCCCAGCTTGCTAACCCAATGGGTAATGAGGTGTAAGAGGTGATGCGGCACAGGCAGCCTCACCACACTCTCCCTCCTTGGTGGCTACTTTGGGGGTGGGTACAAGCTGATTGTCTGATTGCTTCTCTGTGTTTCAGAAGCAGGGTCTTTTCTCTCTCTGTTTCTTCACTAGAGCCAACAAGATTTAATATAGTTGCTGTATTGCATGACCGTCTCAGGACTAACAACATCAAGACCCTGGTCAAGGAAGAACACTTTCCCAGATCTTACAGATAGCTGCAGCTGGTGACAAGGCTGATTTCCTTACTCTCACTGTGAAAATGGCATATTAAACACAACCTATACTAGGAGAGGTAGCTAAGTACACTCTCACCTAAAATGTAGGGCATGTTGGTCTCTCTAATCACAATAAAAGTAGTGTGTGTGTGTGTGTGTGTGTGGTGTGTGTAATGTATTAAAATGTAAAAAATTCACAGCATGAAAAAAAGTTTTCTAAGCTTGAGATCTAATGCAAAATATAAGAGAAAAACTAGTATTTATGTGGTTAGAAAAAGCATACATAAGTGTAAATAAGAAATACAGTAAAGCAGTTGTGCTATCTATGAGAGTTATTTTACACATAAAAGGCACTTCTGGGGCTAGGACATGGTGGTAGGTAGAGAGCTTGCTGTGTAAGTAACAGGATCTGAGTTTGAACCCAACACTCAGGCCTGATGACCTGTGCCTGTGTCTCTAGCACTGGGGAGCAGGGACAAACATTTCTGTTTGATTCCGGGATGACTTTCTACATTGTCCTAATTTCTTTGATGACTGCTGTGCATTCAAAAGTATGTGGTTCAGTCTCTGGGTGTTTGTGTGGTTCAGTCCCTGGGTGTTAGTGTGTGTGGTTCGGTCCCTGAGTGTTTGTGTGGTTCAGTCCCTGGGTGTTAGTGTGTGTGGTTCGGTCTCTGGGTGTTAGTGTGTGTGGTTCGGTCTCTGGGTGTTTGTGTGGTTCAGCCCCTGGGTGTTTGTGTGGTTCAGTCCCTGGATGTTTGTGTACTTCCTGAGGTTGTCCTTGCTGTGGTTTCCGGTTCCATTCTCCTTATGTCGTTCTGTGTTTGTTACAGTGCTCCATGCCTTGTGGCCTTTAATATGCTAAATTTAAGATTCGCTGCTAGAAAGAGCTTGTTTGCTATCTGTTGTTTTCTGTCTGTAAAATCCTGTGATTTCATCTGTGCTTTAATTTATCTCTGAAGTCTCTTTCCTGGTTTTATTTTACAAGACCAATCTAAACATAAGAGTAGGTACTGAAGTCTCTCCTGATTATCATCAGGACCCATGTGTCCTTTCATGCCTTTTAGTACTTGTTTTATAAAATTAGATACCCAAGAATTGGTACATAGGAATCTACAGTATTCACATCTTGTTGATGAATTACTCCTGACTAGTTTGAAGTGTACATTATCAGATATGAGAATCCCTACGCCAGATCGTTCATGAATCCCATTTGCATGCTAGCTTGATCTCCCACTTTCGACTCTCAGTTTTGAGATGGTTTTTTTCCAGTTATGAGAACTTCTTAGAGACAATGGGATGTTGTTTCATAGTTCAATCAGTTTGTCTGCATCTGTCCTACTTTAGTGTCTGTTGCTGTGATAAGACACTAACCAAAAATCAGTTTAGAAGAGAACAGGGTTGATTCGGCTAACAGCTCACAGTCCGCCATCAGGGGAGCCAAGCAGGAAACTGTGGCGATGTGTTGCATGTACAAATGAAGCCTGTCTGAAGATCAGAGGGCGGAGCTTACCACTACCTAAGCATAGAGGTCTGGAGGTCTGTGCAGTCAGGCAGGAAGTGAGATGGCTGGGCAGAGACAGGAAGTGAGATGGCTGGGCAGAGACAGGAAGTGAGATGGCTGGGCAGAGACAGGAAGTGGGATGGCTGGGCAGAGACAGGAAGTGAGATGGCTAGGCAGAGACAGGAAGTGAGATGGCTGGGCAGAGACAGGAAGTGGCATGGCTGGGCAGAGACAGGAAGTGGCATGGCTGGGCAGAAAGAAGTAAAAGAACTGGGCAGAGCCGAGAGGTGAGAAGGCTGGGTGGAGAGGGGATTTAAGCAGAAAGGAACAGGAGCTAGGACTCCTTCCCAGTGGGAAATAATCAGGTAAAGATGGCTTTGGCTTGCTCCTTCTTCTCTCTGATCTCTCAGCATTTTCCTCTATATCTGACTCTGGGTTTTTATTATTTAGACCAATTAAGAACTCCGTTTACAGGAGCCCAAGGCAGAAACTGAAGAAGAGACCACAGAGGAAGGCTCTGTGTGTACTGGCTTGTTCCTCATGGCTTGCTCAGCCGCCCTTCTTATACAGGCCAAGCCCACTTGTCTAAGAGTGGCACCACCCACAATGGTCTGGGCCCTCCTCCATCAGTCAATAATCATGAAAAATGTCCCCCAAACACGATGACATGCCAATCTGATGGAGGCAATCTCTCAGTTGAGATTCCCAGAATGGCTAGGCCTGTGCAAGTTGACAGAAACTAACAACTATTGCATCTTTGAGTTTGTGAGGTAAGTCCCTTTGCATTCAAGTTTACTACTCAGAGGTTATCAATTAGTTATTAGTTATCAGTTGAGATTAGCTATCAGCTAGCTATTTTGTCGGAAGCTTTTCCGGTTGGCTGGGAGCTCCTGTCTTCTTTTCCAGACTCTTCCACATCTCTTGAACTCTTGGGTTTGGTCTCTTTGGTGCACTTGATTTCCTGAACGGTTTTGGTGACGTTGATTTTCCTTTGGGTTCTGTTTGTACTGCTGTCTTACTCCCTTTGCCCTCCATTTCTGAAATCTGTCCTTTTGCTGGGTGCTTATTGTCATCTGCTGGTGATGATTTCTGGTTTTGATTTTTGTTTTTTAAAGCTTGGCTGCTTGGTAGAATCAATGATTCTCCATTTCCAGAATTCATGTTTAATTGTTTTTCAGTGCCTCTATTTTTTTGGCTGAGCTTTTCCTCCATGTTCTTCCATTTTTTTTTCCCTCCAAGGTACTGACCATCTCACTCACTCCAGTAACTTTCGTGTCTACTCTCTAAACCGCTCTGCCGGTCTCTGCCTCTTTGGTGTGGCCGCGGCCCATGCTGCACGGGGTCTGTTTGTTGCTCGTCACACTGTTTGCATGAGTCCCATGTTCCCCTACACCTTGTATGGTTAACCGGATAGTGCGGTGGGGGCGGGGTCAGCTTCAGATTCCCCCCACCCCTTTCCTAACTCATGCCCATGGTTCGCTCCACTCTCCCCATTGGGCAGGGTGAGCTTAGCCTCAAGTTACTTTCCAGCCTCTGCCACACTTCTCCTGTGACCTGGTCCCTTGCTCATTCGAGCAGTGGTAGAGGTGAGGCTCTCAGATCTAGGGTCCCATGCAGCTCCTCTGGGCTGTACCCATGGTTTGTCCACTGTCCTCACTGGGCAGGCTGAGCTCAGCCTCCACCACACTCTTCCCATGAGCTTTAAATCATCTCTGGATCACTTATAATGCATGGCTTAGACAGTGTCCATACTATGGGACTAGTTATACTACATTTTTTTCCAGGAATCATGAAAAGGAAGAAAGTTTATGTCAGGCTCACGTGGCCAGTACAGATGCTCTCATTTGTTTGCTTTTGTTTTTTTTGTTGTTGTTGTTTTGTTTTGTTTTGTTTTGAGTCTCTGTTGGATCTGGAGATACAGGACCCAAGGTCATGGAAGCATTGGAATCTCCTTGCGTACTTTGCTGCCAAGGATGGGTATACAGTGTACAGTGGGCTTTTAGAATAGTGACTGACTCAAGAATTGTCATTTGCTGGCAGCCAACACAGTGCCCTGTGGCTCAGAGTCCTTACTGACCCTAGAGAGGATTACACCGAGGCTACCTAAGGTCACACCACTTCTCGACTTAAGATGACTGCAAGGAACCCACACAGCACAGACAGTAAGCAAGCCCCAAGGCTCAGAAGAGCCCCTGCGTCCAGCTGCCACGCTAAACCCACCATCTGCCTAATAGCAGGTAAAAAGGTAAAATTATAGTAGCTGACGTATCAGGGCAGCAGAAACGGGCATGTGTGTGAGCAAAGGCTTCTGGCAAACAGCTAATCTCATGCCCAGGTGTGCTCTTCCATGCCTTGCTTGGCCTTTAGTCCTGCAGGACTTACTTGTGAGTGAAGAGACAACATATTTTTTTTCTTTCAAAAAAAATAGGATAACAAAGTACATCTGAGAAAGAAGGCTTTTCTTCAACAAAGGCAGCCCCCACACGTGCTGCCAGAAGTTCCATTAGGGCTGTCAACTTACTTCATCCTTGCCTGATCTTCACCCTCACCGAGGAACATCTTCTCTAAAAATGACCCATATTTTTGGAAGCATGAACTCCCATTCTTTCTGTGGCTTAGACTTAAGAAAAAAATGACGCTGATTCCCGTTTCATGTTTGCAATAAATTAATACCATTGGCTGATTGATGTAAAGGGGGGAACTCTAGTTTACCTCAGTTGAACTGGTACCCAGCAATTTTTCATGGATGCTTGTTCGTTCCATTATATAGGGCTCACAGCTTCTGAAACAAAAATCGACATGCGGTTTGACAATCAGGAGTCTATTTATAGGGACAGGATAGTTAGCAAACCAGAAAATCCAGGCCATATGCATGCCATTAACTATATATAATGAATGATGTGCATGAATAATGTATGGACATGTGGGCTGACTAGTGCCTCTCAACTGGCCAAGGACATGAAGAGCCTTTCAGGGGTTGGCTAATTGAGTTGCTGCACTGCCTGTGGTCTCCTCTACAATGACTTACTTAATTGATGTCAACTCTCTTTATTAAATCATTTAATCTGTAAAAATGATAGATAGCTTTACATTATGCCTTCTCCAAAAGAACTGCAAAACTGTTCTTTAAGCCTTTTAATTCAGTTAAGAGACTCACAAGGTTACACATGAACACACGCACCATTAATTTAATAAATACAATTAGAATAATACTCCATTAGCTTACTGATTGCCAGGGAATAAAATAAACACACGGTGTTCTTTGGATGTGGTTTGGGATCTTACAGGCACTTGGATGAAAAGTGAGTACCCCTGTGTATGTTCTGATCCACTTCCCTGAACAGAAGCACGCAGTGACAACCAAGACAAGTGAGCCTTGCTTAGCTGTGAGTTAGGGAGCACAGCCAAAGAGCTCAGGGAAGGCACAATTAGCAGTGTTGTCCTTTAGACTGAATATTAGCTTCTTTTCAAAAGGCAATCAAAAACTTGTCAGGAGTTTTAGCTAAGTTTTTATATTAAAGCATGTGTCTGTATTTCAAAAAGAAAGTTAACCACAACGGTTTAAAATTCAAAATCCATTTTAATTATTTATTTGGGTGCTTATTTGGTTGAGGGTTTTTGCCCTACAGGTGATGGCCAAGACGTCCATCTTTGCCTCTGAACACCCTACTGCTGCCTCCTATTCCAGCTAGTATAACATGTCAAGACACACCAACTCTTCAGTGACAAACTGGTCTTAAGAAAGCTTTCCATAGCGATACAATTTTAGGACAATATCTATAGACAAGCACACGCGTGCACACACACACACACACACACACACACACACACACACACACACACACAGGCACACCAAAAAAAACCCCACTGAACTTTAGGCAGATCCTGTAGCAAAGTTAATAATACCTCCTGAGATCATTATGTTTTAATCTGCTATGCTACTTGGTACTCAGCATATTTAAGCTTAAGGGGCCTTGAAAAGAACAATGTAACCAGCCTTACTATGCCTTGGACTTCCCATGTAATGCGTTTTGTACAACCTCAGCCAATGAATAGCTTTAATTTAAGCTATGAACTGTTCCATGGTCCAAACCCAGAGTACTACAAGTGTATATGTGTGTGTTGTGGTAATCATTTGCTGAAAGTAGCCAACAGATTGGAAGCACACTGTACAACAAATATATACTGTAAATATTAGAGACAACATGATAACGTCTGTTGTTGTTTACTCTTTGAATCAGTTGGGGTTCCCCAATTAAAACCCTGTTAAACAAGCAAAAAGACACAACAACTTCCCATACACAGCTGTACCACGCGTGTAAATGCAGGCTTGGAGCAAGCACAACACAGATAGGAAACCCTGGATGCATCAGCACCCTAAGCAAGCCTGGAGATGACAACACAGGCAGGCTCTCGCCGTACAGAGTGAGTCACCCATTCTCTCTCAGGTGGCAGCAATAAAGGGAAAGCAACGTCACGGGAAAACAAAGTCTGCTTTGGGCCACTGAAGAGGACGGGCGGCAGGTACGGGCCCCCAAGGTGACATTCGCAGCCTGCACCTGCATGGGGGGAAGAGCTGCTGGAACCTGTCTGATGAAACAGTCGCATGTGGTCTTCTAGAAAAATCTATTCCCTGAAGTCTGAAAAGGTTTTCATGGGGGAGCTGGAGGGATGGCTCCATGGTTAAGGGGGGCTTGCTGCTCCCCTAAAGCACCGGAGATCAGCTCCTAGCACCCATACCTGGTGGCTCTCACAGCCACACGAAAAATCTAGTCCCGGGGTAACCAGCATACTTTTCAAGAACACCTGAACGTACATGGTGCCCATATATATATTTCTTTTCTGTTTTGTTGTTGTTGTTTTTCTAGGCAGGGTTTCTCTGTTGCTTTGCAGGCTGTCCTGGAACTAGCTCTTGTAGACCAGGCTGGTCTTGAACTCACAGAGATCTGCCTGCCTCTTCCTCCCAAGTGCTGGGATTAAAAGCGTGCGCCGCCACTGCCCGGCCTCATTTTTTTAAAGATGGATTTCATGAGTAATGATTTTAAAGGTTTTCAAGAGCAATTATTTTAAATGACAGACCAGTAAGACCATAAAAAGCACAAAAAGCCAAGCATATTACAAGGTGCATCACTAATTTCTTTTATGAATTTTATTTATGTGATTGAGTATATGATGGAGGGAGGGATATGTACATGTAGTATTGTCTTCATGTCCATTGTTTAACTCTATGAGTAGTGCCTATGGATTCTCTCTATGCAGTAGTGCTCCATGACTATGGATTCTCTCTATGCAGTAGTGCTCCATGGCTATGGATTCTCTCTATACAGTAGTGCTCCCATGGCTATGGATTCTCTCTATGTAATAGTGCTCCCATGACTATGGATTCTCTCTCTGCAATAGTGCTCCCATGGCTATGGTTTCTCTCTATACAGTAGTGCTCCCATGACTATGGATTCTCTCTATGCAGTAGTGCTCCCATGGCTATGGTTTCTCTCTATGCAGTAATGTTCCCATGGCTATGGATTCTCTCTATGCAGTAGTGCTCCCATGGCTATGGATTCTCTCTATGCAGTAATGTTCCCATGGCTATGGATTCTCTCTATGCAGTAGTGCTCCCATGGCTATGGATTCTCTCTATGCAGTAGTGCTCCCATGACTATGGTTTCTCTCTATACAGTAGTGCTCCCATGGCTATGGATTCTCTCTATACAGTAGTGCTCCCATGGCTATGGATCTCTCTATGCAGTAGTGCTCCATGGCTATGGATTCTCTCTATACAGTAGTACTCCATGGCTATGGATTCTCTCTATGCAGTAGTGCTCCCATGGCTATGGATTCTCTCTATGCAGTAGTGCTCCCATGGCTATGGATTCTCTCTATGCAGTAGTGCTCCCATGACTATGGATTCTCTCTATGCAGTAGTGCTCCATGGCTATGGATTCTCTCTATGCAGTAGTGCTCCCATGACTATGGATTCTCTCTATGCAGTAGTGCTCCATGGCTATGGATTCTCTCTATGCAGTAGTGCTCCATGGCTATGGATTCTCTCTATGCAGTAGTGCTCCCATGACTATGGTTTCTCTCTATACAGTAGTGCTCCCATGACTATGGATTCTCTCTATGCAGTAGTGCTCCCATGACTATGGATTCTCTCTATGCAGTAGTGCTCCCATGACTATGGTTTCTCTCTATGCAGTAGTGCTCCCATGACTATGGATTCTCTCTATGCAGTAGTGCTCCCATGACTATGGATTCTCTCTATGCAGTAGTGCTCCCATGACTATGGATTCTCTCTATGCAGTAGTGCTCCCATGACTATGGATTCTCTCTATGCAGTAGTGCTCCATAGCTATGGATTCTCTCTATGCAGTAGTGCTCCCATGGCTATGGATTCTCTCTATGCAGTAGTGCTCCCATGGCTATGGATTCTCTCTATGCAGTAGTGCTCCCATGGCTATGGATTCTCTCTATGCAGTAGTGCTCCCATGACTATGGATTCTCTCTATGCAGTAGTGCTCCCATGACTATGGATTCTCTCTATGCAGTAGTGCTCCATAGCTATGGATTCTCTCTATGCAGTAGTGCTCCATGGCTATGGATTCTCTCTATGCAGTAGTGCTCCCATGACTATGGATTCTCTCTATGCAGTAGTGCTCCATGGCTATGGATTCTCTCTATGCAGTAGTGCTCCCATGACTATGGATTCTCTCTATGCAGTAGTGCTCCATGGCTATGGATTCTCTCTATGCAGTAGTGCTCCCATGGCTATGTATTCTCTCTATGCAGTAGTGCTCCCATGACTATGGATTCTCTCTATGCAGTAGTGCTCCCATGACTATGGATTCTCTCTATGCAGTAGTGCTCCCATGACTATGGATTCTCTCTATGCAGTAATGCTCCCATGACTATGGATTCTCTCTATGCAGTAGTGCTCCCATGACTATGGATTCTCTCTATGCAGTAGTGCTCCATGGCTATGGATTCTCTCTATGCAGTAGTGCTCCCATGGCTATGGATTCTCTCTATGCAGTAGTGCTCCCATGGCTATGGATTCTCTCTATGCAGTAGTGCTCCCATGGCTATGGATTCTTTCTATGCAGTAATGTTCCCAAGGCTATGGTTTCCCTCTACATAGTAGTGTCTCCATGTCTAAGATTTTACTCTATGCACCAGTGATTTCATGTCTATGATTTCACTTTCTGTAGCCTCACTTACATGTAGAATTACATGTTTTCAGATTAAATTATTATCTTGCTGAATAATCATCTGCATGCCTCAGTCTCCAAGGTGCTAGGACTAAAGACATGTATCACCCTGCCGGGACCTAAACTGTTCTTTAATTCCTTTTCACAAGTTGGAAACTCAGATGGGTGGGTTCTTGATCTGAGGTCACCACTCCTTTTATTCCATTTTTAGCTCCGTTTCACTCCCTGGTGCCCCTTTTCTCCTCAAGTTGTACATTTTGTGTTTTTCCTTGCACAGCTTGCTCCTTTTCATTATAGATCTTCATCAGAGTGAACACTAATAACCACACAACAGACTCTACACTAAGCTGTTTTTAGATTTCTTCTGCCAATGGAATTAATCCAAATCTCTTCACTTTAGCCTCAGGCAGAGTTTTTGGACAGGGACAGCCACATTCTTCACCAAGATATCACAAGAACCATCTC